TTTAGTCTTGCTTTTTTAAGTTATCTATTTGTTGATTTCATATCTTGCCATACACACCCTAGTTACTAATAATGTATGAAAGCAATAAAAGTGCGGAAAGTAAGGATTATACACTATTACAATCATTAGGGGGATGGGGTGTACAAATTCACGAATGGGGGTCTGCAAGAAAATAAATCCTAATTATTTATTACAACCATATTGAAATAATAATGCAAGAAAGAAAAGGGACCTTGTTTTAAAAAGGGTTTTTTGTGTTGATGAATAAAAAAGGAATGAATTAGCTTAGTAAAAAAGAATATATTTTTATGCCTTTTTATATTGATGAAAAAAGTTTTAATGTTGAAAGTGTTAAAAAGGAAAATAAATGAGATATAAGACCAGCGTGTTGCTATAAGCAAAACAAAACGGAATCAGAAGTTCTGAAGCCAAGAGCGCTGTGACTCAGCAGGAGACGTCAGTGGGTATCAGAAGTTCTGAGTTGGTAAGCTCTGAGGTCCTGCAAGACACGTTAGAGGGAAAATACAAAAATTCTGGGAGGTATTCAGACAGTGGACCACAAGTCAGAAGTTCTGTATTACACTTAAAACTGTGAGTAAACCCCAGAAATTCAGTCAGCATGTGAAAATCAAAAACTCTGAGTGTGTAAAAACAACGAGTGGAAACATCAGAAGTTCAGTACGTTTGACATGTAGGGAGAACTCAGAAGTTCTGTGCTGTGTTAGAACAGTGAGTGAATCATGGAAGTGCTATGTGTTAGAATGGTGAGTGAAAAATATAAGTTCTGTGTTACATTTCAAGTCTTTCCTTATATCAATCAGCACAACAATGACTTATTCAGCTTTCAGCAAACAACAAATCAGAAGGATAAAAGCACAACAGTTTATGGAAGTTCTGATCCTGGTCCTGAGTCTAGCCTTAACTAGGAAGTTCTGATCCATAAATTTTCTACTTACGCAATGATATGGACAACATCAATACTATGATATTTACATGTTTAATGATGTTCTAAGTGAGAAGATACAGAGTCAGGGAGACTTACCTTGAACTTGGAGCGTGTGCTTGGGACTTGAGCTGCTGCCTTTAGATATTCTGGAGTCAGCAAGAGCAACGAAGGAGAAAATACCAGGTTCTTTTACTTCAAGGGAAGAACAAGGGTTTTGGTTTTATGTTTAGGAATTCTAGATTTTTATGAAGACCTCACAGTTTTTCTCTTCTCTCTTTTGACGATTCTCTCTCCAAAAGCCATCCCCTTGCAAGTGTGATGGATCAACTTATTTATAGATGAATTTGTTGTGGTTTTTGGGGGGAAAACATATGGGATTTGAACTTTTTGGCACACTGTTCCATTGCTTTTTGATCACAGCTTTTTGTATTTGGTGCAAATACAAGATTTGGGAAGATGCAGGTGTGGACTGGATTAACTGCTGGTTAGAGAATTGCAATGTAGCAGTGCAACAGGTTGTTTAAACGAAGTATTGAGATTTGGTGATGTTCTGATTGCAAAAGATCAGAAGCGTAAACTGCAAATGCTGAAGGGGCATGTTCTGACTGGAGCGTTGAACATAGCCTTTATGTGCTAGGGAATTATGTTTTGACCAAAGATCATTGCTTCTACATTTTATGATTGAAGCGTCATGTTCTGAATCGTGTTTGCAACTTCTGACTGCACTTGCATAGAGACTAGCTCAGAAGTTCTGAAATATCATATTCTCTAGACACTTAGAAAATTTTCTAAATGTTTAGAAAATTTGATTTTTTTCAAAGTAACTTCTGACTTCTGATTTTTGATGAACCAATTTCATGCCTTAATGAAACATGATTCTTGGAACTTGATTCTTTGATTGATCCAAAAGTCAAAGTTTGACTTTTTAGTATGCAAATGACCATTTTTCCCTTTTAGATGATTTTCTTGAAAAGTTGTAATTCAAAACTTGAAACTTGATAGAAGCAAGCCTTTTGAGAAATGAGAGGACAAATTTTGGGGTACAACAATGGTGCATGGGGAAGTGGACATCCCCATAAAGGTTAGAACCCAAACATTTGATTCAACTTTTTATGTAATGGATATTCTCCCTTCATATTCCTGCTTACTAGGACGACCGTGGATTCACAATGCTGGTGCTGTTACTTCTACGTTGCATCAAATGCTGAAATATGAAATTCAAGGGAAAATCATCATCATTCATGGAGAAGAGGAGTATATGGTCAGCCATCTAAATTCTTTCAGATATGTGGAACTAGATGGTGAATTTATTGAAACTACATTCTAGCACTTTGAAGAAGTCCTGCAAGATGTGGCAGTAACCAAGGCTGTGTATCAAGTTCCCAAGATTATAAGGCCTCCGCTCAAGATGTCATCTTTGAAGGATGCCAAGGTAGTGATAAAAGAAGGTGGGTGCATTATTTGGGGCCAACTCCCAGATATCCCATACAAATCTGAAAAATTTGGTCTGGGTTTCACTTCAGGTGGCCAAAAGGTTGTACGCTGCGCTCGTGCCGGAGGACCACCCTTGAAGATCAGCAATCACCAAGTCAGCACCGTTGAGGATGATGAAGACAGCTATGGCCTGGAGGATTGGATTTGTCCAACTGTTGGTGGAGGGCTTAATAACTGGGAGGCTAGAGACTTTGTCCCGATCACATTTATCCCACAATAATTTGTATTTACATTTTGTCAGATCTGTAATATTAAAACAATTTAGACTCTTAAAACCTTGTGTCTTACCTGAAGCACAATGGTCCATTTGTAAGGGTTATTATCTCATTTCCATATGACATTAATGAATCATGGACGTTTTTGCATACAAACTTTGTGCTCATTGTTTTTCTTTTTACACTTTCATTTCTTTCAAAGATAGTTATACTCTTACACACACTCACACTCACAATGCAGGTCTACATCCATTCGGGATCCCATGGGTAATGGTTCTACTATGGATTTCTGTAACTCCAAAAATCTAATCTACGAAGCCGAAGACGAAGGTGAGGAAGATTGTGAAGTACCAGGGGAACTCTCCAGGTTACTGCAACAAGAAGAGAGAACCATTCATCCCCACGAGGAACTAGTGGACACAATCAAACTAGGTATCGAAGAAGACAAAAGAGAAGTCAATGTGGGTGCCAATCTGGAACCCAGTGTCAAAGAGCATCTGATTCAGCTGCTACATGATTATGTTGACGTATTTGCCTGGTCGTATGAAGACATGTTGGGACTTGATGCAGATATTGTGGTACATCGTCTACCAACAAAATAAGATTGCCCACCGGTAAAGCAAAAGGTTCGTCGCATGCGACCAGACATGTTGGAGAAGATTAAGGCAGAAGTTATGAAACAATTCAATGCTGGATTCTTGGCCGCCACCTCCTATCCACAATGGGTTTCCAATGTTGTTCCCGTGCCTAAAAAGGAAGGAAGGTACGAATGTGCATGAACTACAAAGATTTGAATCGGGCGAGCCCTAAGGATGATTTCCCACTTCCCCACATTGATATTCTAGTTGACAATACATCACAACATAAGGTGTTTTCCTTCATGGACGGTTTCTCAGGCTACAACCAAATTAAAATGGCGCCTGAGGACATGGAGAAAATAACCTTTGTCACACAGTGGGGTACATTTTTCTACAAGGTTATGCCATTCGGATTGAAGAATGCTAGGGCAACCTATCAACATGCCATGGTAGCTCTATTTCACGACATGATACATCATGAAATAGAGGTCTATGTGGACGACATGATAGCTAGATCTCAAACAGAAGAAGAGCATCTTGATCACTTACAGAAATTGTTTGAGAGGCTAAAGAAATACAAGCTGAGGTTGAACCCAAATAAATGCACATTTGGGGTGAGGTCTGGTAAACTCCTAGGCTTTGTCGTCAATAATAAGGGTATTGAAGTAGATCCTGCCAAGGTGAAAGTGATACAAGAGATTCCTGCTCCTCGTACTGAGAAGGAAGTCAGAGGATTTTTGGGATGCTTAAACTACATTTCCAGATTCATTTCTCACCTGACAGCTACTTGTGAACCAATCTTCAAATTACTGAAGAAAGATCAAGTAGTCAAATGGAATGATGAATGCCAAACTGCTTTCGATAAAATCAAAGAGTACTTACAAGAGCCTCCTGTTTTGATGCCACCAGTCGAGGGAAGACCATTGATCATGTATCTAACTGTTTTGGAAAATTCAATGGGGTGTGTGCTGGGGCAGCATGACGAGTCTGGCGAAAAAGAGCATGCTATTTATTACCTGAGCAAAAAGTTTACTGACTGTGAAACAAGATATTCACTGCTCGAGAAAACTTGTTGCGCTTTGGCATAGGCTTCTCGCCGGCTAAGACATTATATGCTGACCTACTACCTTATTGATATCTAAAATGGATCCAATAAAATACATCTTCGAGAAACCCGCCCTCTCTGGAAGAATAGCGAGATGGCAGATGATCCTGACAGAATATGACCTACAGTATACTGTCCAGAAAGTAATAAAGGGCAGTGTACTAGCTGATCACCTTGTTCACCAAGATGTGGAAGACTATCATTCCATGAAGTTCGAATTCCCAGATGAAGACATCATGATGGTAAACAACTGTGAAGAATTCAGACCATATGACGGACCCGAACAAGGATCCCGATGGACCCTGGTTTTTGATGGGGCATCCAACGCACTTGGTAATGGTATTGGAGTTGTACTCATATCTCTTGAAGGATGTCATACTCCCTTTACGATAAGACTCTGCTTTAATTTTACAAATAACATGGCAGAATATGAAGCGTGCATTTTTGGTCTCAAAGCTTCCATAGATTTGGGGATCAAATCCTTAAATGTATTTGGAGATTCCTCTTTGGTCATCAGCCAGATCAAAGGGGAATGGGACACTAAGCATCCCAACCTTATCCCCTACAAATAACGTGTGTTGACATTGATCCCACGTTTTGAGAAGATTACCTTCGAGCATTTCCCGCGAGAAGAAAATCAGCTAGCAGATGCACTAGCCACAATGTCATCCATGTTTAAACTTAAATGGGATAATGAAGCTCCCCAGATCACCATTGAACGAATGGATGAACCAACTCACTGTCACGAGATTAATACTGAAGAAGTAGTGGACCAGCCTTGGTTTCACGAAGTCAAGAGGTATCTCTAGGCTCAAGAATATCCAGAAGGAGCTTCAGTCAATGATAAGAAGTTCTTAAGGAGATTCTTAGTGGCCATTGACTATTTTACAAAGTGGGTTGAGGAAGCCTCTTTCGCTTCCGTTACCAAGATTGTTGTAGCCCGGTTCATCAAGCAAAATCTCATCTGTCGGTACAGTATCCCGAAGAGGATCACCATAGACAATGGTACAAATCTAAACAATACTATGATCACCTCCCTGTGCGAGCAATTCATGATCCAACACCATAACTCTTCCCCTTACTGGCCAAAGATGAATGGTGTTGTCGAAGCTACAAATAAGAACATTAAAAAGATCATACAGAAAATGACAGTCACATACAAAGACTGGCATGAGATGCTACCATTCGATCTCCATGGGTATCGTACCACGACGCGCACATCAACTGAGGCAACACCCTACTATCTAGTATACGACATGGAGGCTATCTTGCCTATTGAGGTCTACATCCCCTCTCTGAGAATTATGAAGGATGCAGGTCTGAACGAAGACAATTGGGTCCAGACTCGACTTGATCAACTGAACTTGATTGATGAGAAAAGGCTTACTACTGTCTGTCATGGTCAAATGTATCAAAAACGGATGATCAAGGCTTTCAATAAAAAGGTCAGACGCCAAGTATATCAAGTCGGGGATTTGGTGATCAAACATATCATACTACTGCAAGGTGATACCAGGGGAAAATGGACTCCTACATACGAAGGACCGTTTGTAATCAAAAACATATTTTCTGGTGGAGCAATGATCTTGACCACCATGGATGGTGACGAAAGATACTACGCATAAGAGACACGCTAGGTTGACACACCTAGGCAAAACAAGGGCATCCCAGCAAACCAAAAAGGTTCGGGCAAAAATTAGGGATAAAACAAAAAAAAATTTGTACACCCGACAAGTTGAAAACCCGAAAGGGCAGCTTGGGCAAAAAAGGGTATCCCGGTGAACTGAAAACCCGAAAGGGCGGTCCGGGAAAAAGTTAGGGAATTAAAGCGTATGACTATGTCCCGTTGGATCACCTTACGAACAAACTAGAAAACTCAGAGGTTCTGATCAATTCAATCAACTTCGGACAAGGCAATAAACGGACAAGATGCTAAGAGACACGAAGGCTATAGCAGAATGGGAACCCCATGGGATTATTTCACATAACTATCTTTTCTTTGTATCAAATTTTCATTTTTTTACGACGGAATTCTCTTACTAGAATGTTTGTCTCATTGTACAAAAATACTTACTCAAAGTCAATACAAAGATATCCCTTTGAAAGTACAAAACTATCTATTTTTTTCTTTACTCTTGTGTTTTGTTTACAAAAACGTCCAATGATTTATTGTTGAACATATGCATTTGAACATAATTACTGTTTACAAATAAAAAAAATAGAAAGACAGACACTGATGGCTTTAACAGATAGGGAAATCACTCTAAGCTATTTCCATGAGATCCACCACAGTGTGCAGTTTAATCCCCAGCGGAATAAAACTTCCAGTTATCACTCCCCGATAGAAGTCGCCAAATTTCTCAGGATTCCCCAATAGGATGTTACAAGCAGTACACGTCGTTTCCCTTACAACAAAGTTTATTTCTATAAGCGGAAATGCATCAACACTTCAACTTCAAAACATGAAGACTTATACTCCATATCCTCAGCAGTAGTCAGGGATTTATTTTCCCCAATCCAACAGTTGCGCAGCAGATTAGCTCACATACGCATACATCGCATCCATATATCATAAAAACTGATAACACGAATGCATGTATCATAATCTCATTATACCATACATTTCATACAACATGACATTTCATATTAGCTAACATTTTACCCTTTTCAGGATAAGGTTAATCAACATCTACCATTAACAATGTTCAAAGATTTTTACAGATACAGTTCAGATACGGATGTCATTCTAATACTCATTCAGATTCAGCTTTCAGATATGCTCCATACACGGATGTCATTCTAATACTCATTCAGATTCAATATTTCAGATACAGTTCAGATACGCTCTCTACGCGGATGCCATTCTGATACTCATTCAGATTCAAGCTTCCCGATATAAGTCTGATACGCTCCAGATACATATGCCATTCTGATACTCATTCAGATTCAGATTTCAGATACAGTTCAGATACGCTCCAGACACGGATGCCATTCTGATACTCATTCAGATTCAAGCTTTCAGATACAGTTCAGATACGCTCCATACACAGATTCCATCCTGATACTCATTCAGATTCAACTTTCAGATACAATTCAGATACACTCTAGACACGGACGCCATTCTGATACTCATTCAGTTTCAGCCTACAAATACGGTTCATCAATCATTTCTGGATGGCATCTACAAGCCCATCTCCAACAAATTTCCATCACCCCTCCAAATGGCATCTCTAAGCCCATTCCCTCTACCATCACATCACCGAGTGCAAATTTCTGGGCACTCTAGTGTCCAATCATCTTCCACCCTCGAGTCACGAATGGCAAAACTAGCCAATCTAACTCTTCAGGCTTAAGAAGATTGAACATGGAAAACTGTTGTACCCCAAAATTTTCCCTCTCAATTATCAAGAATTTGTTCACAAGATCTCCTTTTGATCAAGACTGCACTAAGGTTGATCAGCTCAAGACACCTCCTTAAGCACTGATGACCAAAATTAGGATTTGAGATTGCACAAGGATATTTGAACTTCCAATGCCCCATATGACTTTCATGGATCATTATGGACCCCCCAAGATTACTCATGTCAAGCTTCAAGCCTTGGATCACACTTTTGCTCAGTCAATTGAGCAGTTGACCTAAAAATCAATTGTATTGGGGAAAAAGTCAATTATGGCCAATTTATAGTCAAACTTCATAAATTTTTATCCACATCAACATTTTAAACTCGTATGTATCATTTGATTAAGTTTGTACCATAATTCCTCAAGAAATTTGATCAAATCTTCAAAAGGGCAAAATGGTCAAAATTAGGGTTTTGACTAAAAAAGGGCAATTTCTGATTTTCGACCTAGCAAATGATCAATTGGTTTAAGGCATGATCTCAAGAGTCCAATTGCATCATTTTAACCTAATGATATGGCTCAAAACATTTCTCAAGACCAATGGATTGACATATGAATTTTCAGTTAACTGATCAAAAAGTCAACTGTACACTGAAAAGTCAAACTTTGACTTTTTGGTCAAAATTCAATGTCAAAGATCACAATTCATCAAAACATGTCAAAATATGAAACTTATTCATCAAGAAATCAAAAAGTCAAGATTTCATTTGAAAGGTCAAAGTTTTCTAACTTAGAAATTTTTCTAAGTGTTTAAACTTCATATTTTTTCATAACTTTAAGCCAATTTTTCACCATGATGCAAGCTGATTCAAAAGAAACTTCCAACATGAAAGTTGTAGATCCCCATGAAATCTAAAACTTTTCTTCACAAAACTCCTTCCAAAAGTGCATGTATCTCAAGTTATAATTTTAAGAATACATGGTCATGAAACAAAACACTTAGTGAAATTTTGCCCTAATTTGGTCAGGATTTTGACCCAACTTCATGGCACATTTTCATATAGTTCCAAGGGGAATATTAAAAATCAATTCAAAGATGGGTTGTTGAGCACATTGAAATATTTCCAAAGTTTCCAAGAACTCCTTGAGATCATTCTTGAGTAGGGAGAATCGAAGAGATGGAGTTAGGGTTTTATCACTTGAATTACATGGCATTTTATGATGAACAAAATTCAAATTCAAAGTTATGTTGTATAAACTCTACTTTGAAGGCCTCAAACTTGTTAGGAACTCCATAATTAATGGCTTGCACAGTTGTTAGAGGTCTCATTTCAAGCATTCAATGCAAAGCCATGCTTTATATCCATTTTTGGAAGAAAGTGTACATTGCCATTTTGATAAAGTTCTTTTTTACACAAAACTTGTTCTTGAGCCTTGCACTTGTTCTCTTCTGATCATACAAGTCCCATAACCCATAAGAAACTTGTTAGATACTTACAATTACTCAGCCCATGCTTGTACTTCATATTGAAACTTGGTTTCACACTTTTCTTCAAAATCAAGTAACCTAGCAATTAGCTAAAAACTTGTACTTCTGATTTCCCAAAGCTCTCAAACTCTTTTGTTTATACATACACAAACCATTTGCACAAAATACACGAATTCTTGACCCCTAAAAACACCAAGAGATTAGAATCACATCTCATACCTCCATTTTCACATAAATTGACCAAAAACTTGAAACTCATAACTCCCCCGTGCGTTTTCAAGCCTTTTGGTTCCTAAAGCTTCTAAACATTATTTAGAAATGATCACAGAACTGTAACATCATTAACACAATCCTCCATTTTCAAAAACAAAGCTTTGCACTTGGACTTCTCCAGAACTCCTCTGGTACTTTCAGCTCAAGCTAAGCATCCCATTAACTTCCTGGGAACTTGAGGAAGCTAACCCATTCATTGGAACTCATTGAAGGCTGCTCAAACTTTAAACCCGATACCCTCTTGCAAGGTAAGTTTTCTAACTTTGGAAATTTTCATACAGGCATCATCAATAATTTATTTATGAATGAAACATGTAGATATCATTGCCCTAAAGCTAACCATTTCCATAGTTTCCATTAATTTTGCCTGAGCTTAGAGAATTTTAAGATTGAATTTTATGATATTTTTTGGGTTCAAAATAGGACCATTAAAATTCATGTTTATCTTTGAGCTATTGTTTTAATGCTTTACATTTCTGAAACTGTGAGGAGATTTTCTACAAGTTTCATGTTTACAGTTTTCATTTTTGTTGAGATTTGAACAAGTTACAAAGGTTCTGGCTGGGCGTGAGGTTGAAGATGAAGTTGGCGTCAGGGACGTGTTTGTCTTATGTATTTATGGTTTGATTTATATAAACAGATGTATAGCCACCCAAGTGATAGAAGCGCGCGCCTGTAACCAGAGGGACCTGGGCTCGAGCCCCAATGGTACTCTTTTGATTTTTTTTCGTCTCATTTTTTTGCATTCAGACTTTTTTGGACAAGGCGCTTGGACCTCCTTTGGGATTTCTTACCTTTTTTCTTACTACTAACCCCCCTTGCAGGCTATTTGCACCCTGGCCCAGTTTTTATTTTCTTTTCTTATTTTCATTTTATTTATTTTCTTAATTATTTTTCTAATACTAAAAAATCATAAAAAAATATTTTAAAAAAATAGTAGATTTATATTTTGACTTAGTTTATTTATTTTTCTCATAAAAAATTATTTTATTTAATCAATACTTTATTTATTTTACTAATTATCTTTGTAAATTTAATTAAAAAATAGGTTTTAGTTATTTTCTTTTACACCAATTACAATATATTATTTTAATAGTTAAAAAGACCAAAAATATTTTATAATACTATAAATTATTTTCTAAGACAAAAATACCAAAAATACTTTTCTTAAACTTAATTTCTTTTTAATCAATTAATAGATTTAGGATTTCATTGAAAATCTTTTCCTAGTAAAATTAGGTTTACTTTTTTTCACCTTTAATTAATTATTTTCTTCTAGCTAATTAGGTTAAAAATCAAAACCCCTTTTCTCATGAAAAATCAAACAAATATCTATTTTTTTTTGGATTTACATTCTTGCATATTTATCTATTTTTGTACGTTTATTTATTCAATTCTTGTACAAATTCAATATGGTTGTAATAGATTAATTAGCTTTATTTTCTTGCAATCCCCATTTATACTTTGTACACCCGCCTCCCACAAGTATTGTAATAGCGTGGTAACTTTAAATTCCGCAAT